AGGAATGCCACCAAGAAATACAATCTCTCCATTCATACCACCTAAGATTTTCTTCAAGAGGATACTCATCTAAGAAGAGTTGCTGCTTTTCTGAGGAATTTTCCCATCTTGATAACTGCCATTTTAAAAAGTAGGATGCATATTGCAATCTTTAAACAAATCAATTTGCAAACACATTGGTTAGCCTTCGGAGGCATTTTTATTTGGGAACAGGGATGGTCAGATGAGCACCCACAGACTCTCAGTCAATGCCACATATTCTCCTTCCTCCCCTCACTGATGATGAAAAATATCTTAATAAGACTCCTGAACAGTTTGGTCTTTGAACTATCAACAAGAAAGCTATGTTCCTGCAGGTGACTGTCTAGTGACTATTGGATAAACAGCCAGAAAAAAATTTTCTGTGATCAGAAACTTACAGCTAAAGTACTACAAAGGGGTTTTTTCATCATAGGGAGTCTAATACTTTGCAGCAGAAATGCAACATGAGGACAGTGCACCTAGATCTGGTACAACAGTATCTGTAGCTTTGACAGCATTTCAAACACTGCAGGAATGATGCAACAGGCATAATGAACAAAAAATTTTGTTCAAGGTATTTTTGGCTGCAGCTTTTGTAGGAAAAATTAAAGTAATAGTTCGAAAGAGGCAGAAAAGCTGAATCATCATAGAGATTACAGAAAAAAGCACCTGGGTTTGGATTGTCCTAATATTACTGATTACGCAGCATCACCGTACCCATCTATAGGTCAGTTATTTTTACCATATTTTTCAATCAACCTTCTAGGTCTCATGAATAGATCAACCAACTCCAGATCAGCTGGAAGTCTCTAGAACAGGACTCACGTGTTCACTACTTGCCATCTCTAAATCAGTATAGGCAAAAGAACTGTCTTTATCCCCCCATCACGCACTTCAAAACCTGGGTATTATCCTCAAACACAAATTCTACCTAGACACTCATATCCAAGCTATATTTAAGTATCAGAATTTTCACATGCAACATCTCAGACATGGTTCAACCACTTCAGATGGTCAGAAGGAACCTTAAGACAGAGATACAGCTCCCTTTAAGGTTCTTTTGCTTCTATACACGCAAAAAGGCTGGGCTCCAGGTACATAAAGTCAGTTGTATCTGTAGCGCAGACCAAGCTTTCCAGCAGCTCCCTTCCACTCCCACAGCAATGTATCCAGCAGTTGTATCATTTTGCTCATAAACTCCTTGAAGCAACACAATTTTCATTCTTAATTCAGAACAAGAGTAAAAATAGCAATCCATTATGATCCTATAGCAAATCCTAATACGGGAGAGCAATGTCAATAATTTGTAGAAGTACAGGTGTTAAGTTCACTATGCCTGTATTTCCACAGAGAAAGAAGCTATCCTTTGGGTCACATGCACTTCCACAAAAGCCTGTTTCTCCTGCTTTTCAAAGATGGAATAACTGACTGTAGAAATTACACTATAATAAATTTAGAATAAATACCTGAAAAACTGATTTTTTTTTTTTTTTTTTTTTTTTTTTAGAAACGGTGATTTCTTCCTAAATTCACACCGAAGAAAAACTCAATATGGAAGGCAACAGTTTTGGAATGACCCATTTCTCCCAGCGAGAAGCACTGTTTGACACACCTCCTGCAAGAACATCAAACCCCTGTCAGTGAGAACTAAAGGCTTTCAAAGTTGTTAACATTTGACTACAGGTCCATGGCATCCCAGTCCTCCCAAAGCAGGCAAGCTCAGCTTGTGGCCCTGGGCCACAAATGGCCTGTTAGAATAATTCAGACTGTCCCTTGCACTCTTCTTGAAAAATGTTGAGAGCAAACCATGGGCTGAACGGATTTTCCTCAAAGGAGCAACAACTCTGTTATCTGCTACTTGCTCTGTTTGCCTCTCTACTGCCTCCATACACTAACATTCTAGTCCC